GTCTCTGAACGTCTGATCCTCCTGCCTACAGCTCTTGAGTGCTAGGATTACAGATATGCTCCACTCTGACTGGTTTTTTTGTGGTACTAGGTGAGAATTGACCCCAGGCTTCCAAGATGCCAGGCAAGCACTCTACCAACTAATGACAAGTGTCAGTGTTTAAATCCAGTCATAACTCATCTCTTGGAGTTCTACCCAGACAGTCTTAACCTAGGATCCTGCTTTAACCCCCGCCCCCATTTGGGCTATTAATGGAGATAACGCCAGCCAAAGCCCTTGTCAAGTGCAAGGAGGCCCACATCTGTTATTCTTCAGAGCAAGAGCTGTGCTTTGCTCTTATCCTGTTTGTCAGGGTCTTTCTTTCTAGCATTGTGCATGGCAGATAGCTCAGGAAAGAAGCTCACAGTGCCACAGAGCATATCACGGTGTCGCCTCTTCCCACTAAGGTGACGTCTACCCAACAGCTCTTCCACAGCCAGCTGGCCATGGATGCCCCTAAGCTGGGTCCAGCTCCTTCATCAGTGGAGACACAGGACTGATTTGGGGGGGGTGGGGGTGAATTTTGAACCTTCTCTCTCAGCTCCATGCTAACTACATTCTCACACAGTTTGTCTTTGTCCAAAGAAAGCATGTTCAGAGGCAAAATCCCCCAAACCACCGCCATCAAAACAACTTAAAGAAGGGGGAAATCAACTAAAGCAAACAAAAACCCCTGCATTTACGAAAGAATGTGGGGAAGTATAATCCTCCAGGGGCAGCATCAGGTTTCCTCATAATTGCATCATGGGCTGTGGGGGGCAGGCAGCAGCTCAGAAGTGGGAGAGGGTCTAAGATTTCCTTTTGTTCTGGCTGGCATTTAAGGCTTTATCAACCAAGTGCCCGTGGTCCCTCGCCACTTCAGGCTGAAGCTCTGGTTGCCTTGCAGAGACTCTGGCAGCTCTCAACAGCCATCTATTCTGGATATCCCAAGCACCCTGATACCATGGCCCGTCTCTCTTTAGGTTAACCATACAACACTGACGGTCAGAAATACAGCTGGGGTGAAGGAGATACAGATATCTAAAACTTAATGACCTTCTTAAAATCTGTGTTGCTCTGCTTCTAAACACCGTGTCTAGAGTAAAATCAGTGCCTGACGATTAACAATGCTAACTTGATATTAGCCAACAATGATGTTTCAAAGTCTTTGAAATTTGGGGTTTTATGACAGGTGTGTTTGTCCTGAGACACTAATGCAGGCACTAGGTAACCTGCCGTCTAACCCGATGCAAAAGCTGCCCCGAAGAGTGTTTAACAAACGCTTGTTGACAGACAGATGGAATAGCTCACCCACAAGACCTTAGACAATGCATTCTTTCTCAAAACACTAAAGTACATTGTTGGGTCCACGACGTTCTGTCTTATTGAGGGGGAGAGTAAGAGAAGGCCAGCTGAAACTGTCCACCAGTGTCTGGGGCCTGGGCTCAGCCAAGAACGCCGGGGCGGGGGGGGGGGGAGCTTACTAAACATACCTGTTTTTACTCAGTGCCTAGTGGAGGCAGGGCCTAGCGATGACGAAGCCCTTGGAGGCCCAGGCCTGAAGCAATCACCTTTGACTCCCCACTGAGCCCACTGAGACTAAAGCTGCTAGGGACACTTTACACACTTTTTCAAGAAGGAAAACAAAAACTGGCCTGACTGAAATGCTGGAAGAAGCAACAGCAACAACAGTACTGTAACTGATTGACAGAACCCAGATAAAAACTTCTACTTCAACCTTCCAAAGGTGGGAATACCAAGTTCCCAGCTCTACACAACAGTGGGCCCGTGGACCTGGCTGTCTGAGGGGCTCTTCCAGAAAAGAAGCTTGGGTCCCAGACCCTGGATTTGCTTTCGGAAGCCTCCTCTCTGCTCTCCTTACCTAGGGCTTGGACTGGGCCCCTGTGGCTAGAAAAACTGTCCTGTTCTCTGTGGGGTCATGACCTTGGGGTTCTTCTGTGCTCATCTGATTGACTTTTGACCTGCAGATCTGTCATGAGGGAGGCTCCTGCCTGTTGCCCTCTCTCCCACACTCCTCACCCACACCCCACTCCCGCCCACCAACGGCCTCCCAGGGACAGCTCTCTGAGGAGGTGCTGAAGGTATCCTGCCATCCCTGTGCCTCCTCTTCACTGAGTAGAGCCCTACACCCCTGCATTGTCCCCTACCTACTTCTGCACTGCTACATGTCAGCCTTCCTCTCTTCCCACATTTTTTTTTCTTGCTGGTGAGAGAATGCAAGAAGGAAGGAAGAGAACACCCATCTCAGGCTGACCCAACGCCTTCTACAGGAGGAATCTGCTGAAGCTCAGTGTCTAAACCCCTCCTGCCGATTCCTGGTTGAAATCCTGAGTGTCTGCTCTTGGATTTCTATGGCGCTCCCCGAGCGCGGGACTGGCTGGGAGCCATGTGATATTGATTTGTTTTCACCATGGCAACAGCAAATTAAAACAAGGAGCAAAACCGAAGGCCGGCTTTTGGGCAGGAAAGCTGCATGACCAGTCTTTCACAAGCATCTTTTCCTCCCTTCCACCCAGTTCTCTCCACTTTCACAAATTTCATACAAAAGTCAAAGTAAAAATAGCACTGAACCCTTCGGGCACGACGGCACTCAGACGCCAACTGTGGGAAGAGGCCGGCTGGCCCAGCCTCTTCTAAAGCATCAGACCTGATTCATGGAGAAAAGTCAAACAACCATGCTTGGAAATTTCATTTGTTGGCTTAGCATACACATCTTTGGAAAATGTGTATGAACTTGACAGAGACCGGAGGGTTTTGTATTTGTGTCCTTACATGTCAACACCCCCAAGACATTGCCAACCACATCTCCATACAGAGGACTCTTCCCTCTGTACTTCACCCAGCTCCCAGCACCAAGAGAAAAACAACTTTTGTTTCTGTCGTTTGAACAAGACTACTTCCCTAGGATTCTAGAATAAGAGAAAGTATGATAAGCATTTCACATTCTAGGACCTAGGACAAGAGAGAAACTGAGGTAGGCATTTGCTCAAGGCCACAGTAGGTGGTGGGAAGGGAGGACGGCTGGTAGCGGGGACTCCTGGGAACTGCAGTGTCCTCTAACCCAAAGTCTTCCTTTTAAAGGCACCTCACAAAACACTAGCCTTTCCCCTGATCTGTGTAACCAAGGCTGTCACCAGCGTGCCACCTGTGACACCGGGTTAACGGCAGACACCATTATACGCTATTTCCTTCGAGCCATCTGTCCTAGAACATGGTGTTTTTCCTGTGGACGCCGTTGTCAACCACCATCCAGGCAACCTTGAACTTGGCGGTGTAACCTGGGCCTTAGATGATGGCTCCAGGGGAGCTGGGAATGCCCCCCTCCCCAAAGTCCACACAGGTAGCCTTACAGAGCTGCACCCTTTGAGAGTTCAGCCAGAAAGAAAGTGAAATTCAGCTCCCATGGCTTTTCCTAGCCAAGCCAGAAGCCTGCAGAAACCCTGCGCAGACAGGCGGCTAGAGAAGCCACCCTCTTTGGCCCCAGAAGGGGGATAGATGGGCTGTGGGTTTAAATGGGAAGACATAACTCAAGTCCTGCCAACCGGGAGTGCGAATGTTCCTGGCCTGGACATAGAGAAATATTCCTCTTCACAAGCCGAATAAAAGAACACACAGCAGAAATAGTTGGGGGATGACGTCAGAAGTTCTGGGCCAGTGTCCTGCACTTCTCCTTGAAAGTAAAAGCAGTGGGTCTAGAAGAATCTACGTGGCATGGCCCTTCCTTCAGGGAACACTGCTGTCCCTCAGAATGGAGAGGAACAAACTTCCCCTTACGTAGATTGCAAAAATGTCCCCTGCTTAATTTTTTTGTTCCTCATTGTCACCTAAATATACATAAGCCCTCATAGATATTCTCCTACTTAATCTTTGTCTTTTAAAGGGGAAGTAAGACTTAGAAGAACGTTGGAACATTCCCGGGGGTGGTGGTTAGGCGAGTTTTTTTTTTTCTCCTCCGCTTCGGTGCTTGCTAACTATTCTAAAAATGTTACACATTTATTGTAAACACATGCTTCCACGGCCTAACAAAAAAGCATGATTTCCTCATGCCTGGCAGAAATTTCAAACGGAAAAGGGCAGAAAGAATTCTTTAACACAGCGAGCTCCTTCCCTTCTCCTGGGCCAAGTGTGTTAAAAATAAATCTGCTTCAACCTTTCTCCCCGCTGCCGCTGCTTCTCGGCAAGAAAGTTGATCTGGCTGGGCGTAGTGAGAGCCCAGCTTTAAAAGCTAGCCTGCTCTCATTAAATTATTCTGCTGGCTGTGTGTTCTCATTAAAAATGCATACAGATCAGATAATTGCAGTAAGCATTATTAACCCAGCTTTACTTTTGAATATAATGGTCCCACTTTTAAGCTGGAAACAAAGACGGAGGCTGCCAGGAAAAGCAATGTAAACATTGAACTACAGTGTCTAAGACTAGCCAGGAAGCTACCTCTGGCTTGGTGGTTAAAATGTGCTTTTGAAACTCAATTAAAGCCGCTGCCCTGTAGCACCAGGGTGGCCCCCAATTTCTAAGAAACAGACATATTTCTGTTTCAAACGTTCAACCGATTATTATTTACCATGATTTTTAAAAAAATTCTTAATTTTAAGAGTGTTTTCAAAGAACAGGATCCATGTAAACTTTATTCTGTAGCTCACTAGAGCAGTAAAAACATTCTCTAAGAAAATAATGGCCTGGATCTCTCATAAAATTTTTAAAAATAATATATAAGTGGGTCTGTTCTTTAAATAAATAAATAAAACCCTCGGTTTTCTGCCTCACCCGGAACGGGGCGGCGTAGATTCCAGCTTTGCCATCTCTTCTTCTCAAATCCAAATGTTACGTAAAACTCCAGGGTTTCCTGCGAGTATTCCGTTCGAATTAGTGGAATCCGGTCTCCCTGGCTTCCCTAAGCACACACATGGAATGCAGCATACTGCAGCAAACTCTAAACATTAAAAGGGGGGGGGTCCTCCTACCTTGTTTAGCTCTGCTTGTCCTCCCCATGTACAGTAACCCCAAGAGCATCTGGCAGGACCGAGTGGCCGCGACTTCTCCACCGCATCATGAAGAAGGGAGGTCCATGCAAAGAGTTCTCCGTCCCTGTTTATTGTACTCTGCGAGCCGCCGGCTGTGGCTGGAAAATTTTACCTTCAGATGATGAAGCAAAGACAGTCTAAACTCTGTTGCTGTGAGCTGCAGCCCTTCCTTCCCACAGGCCCCGCCCAGGAGCGGCCAGCCAATCCCTGGCCAGATCGTCAGTCCTCCTCGTCTGAAACTGGTCCTCATAGGATGACTGACACAGCAACACAGCGCTGGCAGGGTCTGAAAACAGTGCGTCCATACTGATGGAAGAGGGATCTCCCTCTCCGAAGAAAGCAGTCATAGCACCGAAACGAAGTGGTACATAATTGGCAGAGCCCGCAGAGGGGTAGCTCAGACAAACACGCTTCGAGACAGCCCGCCCGGAGCTGGGAGTTGCATCGTAAACACTCCGGAAAACACGAAAACTCCTAAGATGGCCAGGAAATACAGTTGTACCCCAAACTGAAGTCCTCCTTATGCCATTTGGCAAAGCGTACGGATATAGATGTAGATATAAAGGAAAGAATTCAATGTCAATCGTGGAAAGTAATACCTTACGAAACATGTGCATGCATTTTCCATGGCTATATCCATGTCTGAGTACACGCTCAGGACCCGAACATGCTTGCAGCCTCGGCACACAGCTTTTCTGGAGAACAGCTGTCAATGCAGTGGTTACTTACTGGAACCCATACATCTTCCAGCTAAGTGCCCAGCATCAGGGACTTCAATTGGGGAGTGCAGAATGACAGAACGGCTATCTGTCTATACGTTCAGCTTTGAGGCTGCTGGCTGGCACCCACGGAGGATCAGGTGTGCTGTAACCTTCTTAGATGACATTTAATAAAAACTCATGCGTCTGCCCACGGTGTCACTAACGCAGCGGTAACTGCAGGAAGGTGGAGCTGGACTCAGAGCCATCCTCTGGTCTTAGTCTACAGAAGATGACCGGGAAGATGCTGGGATTCCCCCAAGAAAAAGCAAGAAAATAGAACAGAAAGAGTTATCCCCACCCCCCACCAGCACACAGCATTTCTGAAGGCTTTGAAAACAAAAACAAAAACATATGGCATTTAGAAAACACAATAAGCACACATTTCCCTTCCACAAAACACAGCACTTTAGGTCTGAAAAAGTTAAGTATGACGATCTTGAACTAACTCCAGGCAAGAACAAAGACCCTATTCATCTGAAAGATTGAGTCTAACTATATTTTTTATAAACAACTATTTAATGTATCTGGAATAGAGCAAGAAGGTGGAATGTAATGATTTCTATTTTTTTAATTTTGCCCTTGCATCTTTGAAACACAGCATGTCTTTGATTTGTGGGCTAATTTTCTTCAATGGACTGTTGTGTTTAAGTCCTCTTTGTTTTAATGCTTAGTTTCGTTTCCCGTCAATAACATCATTTACAGGCTTTGGTTGAGTCTGAAAATTTAAATTAGCTCCATTCAAACAGGTGGAGAACCTTTTTAGCATCAACACCCCGATGTCACACACACCTGCGTGATCCCAAACGTACAACCAACCTTTACCCCACCTTCTCCTGCTTCTGACATTCTCCTTATCTTATTCCTTAAGCTTTAGCCCCCACCAACTCCCATTCTCAGCCCAAAAAATTAAGTCTGGTAGAATTTTCCTCCAAGCTAGGCCAGAGTTCTGACCTATTCCCTGTATGACACAAAAGCTAATTGACGGCCTCTGGGGTTTGAGCTCCTCATCTCTGGTCTTCTTTGTTGCCAGACAGGTTTTTCTGAAGTCATGTAAAGTCATGTCCCTTTTACACTCAAACTTGTCCCTCCATAAAATCCAAATTATAGACTTTCAAGGTCCTGCAAAATGTGGCCCCTGCCTTTATAATCAACTTTACCGTTTCTGCCTTCCGAAAGGAGCCTCCCTCCTCTATACCTCATGTTTATTTCTTTCTTACCCAGTGCGGGGACCTCAGCTCGCCTGTCATTCCTTTGTTAGACCGTCCTCAACCACACTAGCTTCTCTGATGTTCACAAGGCCTTCTGTGCTGTTCATTGTACCAGGCTATTTTAAGCCCTTAACAATGTAGCCTTGTGTAGCCAGCTTGCCCGTTGCTCTTGCTGTTTTAGAAGGCAAGGTTGGTGCCCTGTATTAATTAAGGGAATGCACGTAAGACATCTGCTCAGAGCGGTGGACAGAGGCTCACTAGAGGATGGCTGTCCCCATGGTCATTTCTGAGATGGACAAGAGGCCACATGTGAACATGCTGATTATTTGATCATATGTATCACAATGACATCATACTTACTCACTCGTACAAGCCAAAAGCATGGCACTTTGTCCTAGCTTTCCTCTCCAATCACAATGTGAAATACATTGTCAAAGTCTGTCAAGAGTAACGCCTGAATGTTTAGAACATTTTCCTGTGTTCTTCTTTGTCAGAGTCCCTTTGTCCAGGGGACTGACATCCTTTGCATTAACTCTTGAAATAATAGTTGTTCCCCGAGTGTTGCATTTGCTTCCTTTCTTTCTCTCTCTCTCTCTCTCCCTCTTTCTTTCCTTCCCACACCTCTCATCTGGTCTCCTCTTTTCCCTTCTCTCTCTCTCTCTCTCTCTCTCTCTCTCTCTCTCTCTCTCTCTTT